GGGATTCCCATGTTTCCGGTTCTACGATGATCTCTGCCATGCATTGCTCCCCAGGACATACTTCCAGTGCCCCAGCCACTGCTCTGATGGTTGCTCCAGGGAGATTGTTTCAGAAGAGGCTGGGGAAAACATAGCTATTTAAATTGTGGCATTTAAAGAGTTTGCAATTCAAATTCAAATGTCAGACCTAAGAATTTATATGAATGAAATATATAAAGGCAAAAGAATACATCTTTTCTAGGTTATAAAAGTAATAGTCTTGAGATCTTTCTATGTGAAATCATATTTGATGCTGGTCAAGTTTTCATCTTCTTGTGTACTATAAATATGATATTTTATGACAGTTATTGAAATAGAACCATGCAGTTCCTTATGCTTCAGAAATAACTGTATACATGATAAATATGAAGAAAAAAATTGAAATTAACTGAAGATTCTTAAAGATATAACATACACGGTGATCTTAAAGCAACCATATTATGCTAGGCACACAACTAAAAATATGGTCTTTGTTAATTAAAATATCCTACTCATGCAAGTGAAATACATTGACTTCATGTTTCCAAAACAAGTTGCACTGCTACAAAAGTGGGAATTACTCTATTGCACAAATTAAAATCGCCTTTTGGAATAAGGGCAGTATAGAAACTATGTCATTTTTCTGCATTGTTTATTTAACTGTTAAGGCATATTATTCCAGTTTTAGTATAGTTTGTCTTAAAGTGTTTTTGTTTTTATTTCACTTAATTATCCATGAACTTTCAAGCAATTATCTGATGTTGCCCATAGGTGGATCCACTGAGGTATACCGCCAATTAACTATATGCTTTGATTATTCCACTAGAGATCTTGATACAAGTCTCCATCAAGTTGATTCATTTTCAAAAGTAAATTACATCCTAATCTAAAGCCTGTGGCAAGAAAAGTCAAGTCATCAAAGAATGGTAAATCCACCAAAAGGCTAATAATTGTAGTTTTGGGTTTGTTTTTTTTTTTAAAGAAGTATTCATTGCTGGTAATTCTACTGTCAATACGTTTATACTTTAATACTTTGGTGTTAAGATGTAGCCAAAGAAGTATGAACCAGACAGTTACTAAAAATATGATTCTCTTAAAATTGAACCTGCTTTTTATAAGACAATTAAAAGAGAAACTCCTGATCTACAGTACCAATTTTTAAAAACTTTTAAATGCTAACATAATCATGAGTATATATTACTCTTTCCTCCTCCACAGAATTCCATGGATAATTAAGGAGCCATGGACAAACCACTTCATTCTTGAGGGCCTTACTTTCCTTATTAAATGATTTAATGCTCAAAGTTATCTTCCAGTGATCTAAAATTCTATATGAAAGCTGTGTGACCTCTCACACTCCATGGCTAGACCCATCTTTTGTTCAAAAGCAGATTACAGTTAAATATGGATCATTGTGTATGTTCTTCCAACGTTCTGTATCACAACTTTAAGAATACAAAATTACCTACAGATAATTTTCTGTGGACAAGTTTCCAGTTAACAAAATGAAGACTCTGAGACACAAAAGACAGTTGCTGAGGATTATAAAAATCATGAAAACGTGGAACATTATTTCAAAATCCCTATTTTCAATCCTTATAGGCCACATTCTCTTTTCTAAGAAAGAAATCAGTGATTCAACAAAAACTGTTCACTATCACTTTGGTTAACTCAGATAAACTGTTAACTTTCACTTGGGTTAATTTAGATAATATTCACTTTAAAAAAGACTAATCCTTGAAAACTTTGGTCAACTGAAAAAGTTATGGGGTTAAGGTCATATTTTGCGTCTCTGTCAATCCTTAATCACGAAAATAGAAAATGGACTTAAACAGAATGAACACTGCAAGAAATGCTAACAAGATTCAAAACCAACAAGACACTCTTTCGACGTCAATTTACCAATCCAGCAGTCACCCAAAAATTGTATTGAGGGAATAACAAAAAAGATCTTGAATCAGAAAAGATCCGGAAAATAAAAACCTCTGCCCAGTGTTATTTCATAATATTACCTACTTAAAATACACACGGCTCAATATTCCCTTGCAGAAGGTTAAGGCAACCAAAAAATGTACCGAGAGTCTACAAGGAAACACTAATCCCAGATCCAAGTTCAGTTTTGTCTTAAAACCCACAAAACATGACACCAACATTGAAAAGCACAGAAACTAAGACAATCGTGGGGTATCTCGGTTTGAACTCGAGCCGTCACTAACAGTTTCTTCTTCCCAGTCCTGTAAGCCGAGGAGGCGACACCGCGGGAAACCAGGTCCTGCGAGGAGCGCGGTCAGCCGCTCCCTCCCCACTCGCCGGTGGCCCAGGGTGCGGCGCTGCCGGCAGGTTGACCGGACGGAGCTTTGCGAGCGGCTCGACGGACCGCCGGGCGGGCTGCGGCTTCAAGGCGAGATCCCCGCCGGCCAATTAAGAATAAACAAACTCCAAAGAAAAAAAGCCTTTCCGCCTTCCCTCATTGGACGGTAGGACAGAGTCAAGGGCTCCCCCGCACGCACCTTCTCCAACAATCATTTTCCTCCTGCCCAAGTTCACTTTCCACGGCCGCTCTTCCAAGGCCCCTGGCCCGCCCCCGGTCCTCGCCGCGCCTCCCCGAGTCAGGGGCCCGGGGCGGCGGCCCTCCAGGCTCAGGGCACCGGGTGGAGCCCGGGATGCGCCAGCTAGGAGGGTCAGGGAGAGACGCCGCGCCCGGCAGCCCGCGGCCACGGCGCTATTCAGCCCCTGCCCCAGCCCCCACCGCTGCGCCGGGACATTCGAGGGGCGCCCGGCCAGCCGCGGCTCCCAGCGCGAACTCGTCTCCCACGCCCCCGCAGCCCACGGTGGCTACTGCCTTCCCACCCCGCCGGGGGCTGGGGTTCCGAGTCCTGTCACGGTCGTCCGCCCTCTCAGTCCTACTCTCACTTGCGCAAGTGGCCCCGTCGCGGCTTCTCTCGGGGCTAAGATCGGGTCCCCGGCCTCCCCGCCGCCGCCTCCGTCCCCCGCCCGCAGTCTCCCGGTCCCGCGGCGCGGCCATGCCGCCGCCCGCCGTACCTGGTGGTGGTTATAGGAGTTCCTCTGCTGCAGGAAGGCGGCGGCCGCCGCCTGGTGCTGCTGCTGGAGCTGCGGGCTGACGGGCGACCTCCGGCTCTGAGGCTGCTGCGGCGCCGCGGGCGGCGGGGGCTGCTGTTGAGGTAAATTCATGGCGGGCGGCGGCGGAGGGGGCACAGCGGTAGCCGAGAAGGGGCCGCCGAAGCCGCCGCCGCCGCCGCCGCTCGTCGGCACGCTGAGCCCAGTGCAGCCGTGCGGCGACACGGGCGAGAAGCTCGGGAAGAAGGCCGGGTTCATGGACGACGGCAGCCCGGGGTAGAAGCCGTTCTCTGAGTCGGGGCTGGGCGGCGGCATGGCGCTGAGCGAGCCGCCGCCGCCGCCGCCGCCCGGGGTGGTGGCCGACGAGCCGGGCGGCTGCGGCTGCGGCTGGGGCGTCTGCTGGGGTGGCGGCTGCTGCTGCTGCGGCTGGGTCGGCGGCGGCTGCTGGGGCTGGGGTGGCGGGGACGCGGTCTGCACCGACCAGGGGGTGCCGAAGCCGGGCAGCGGCGGCGGCGACGCGGAGCCGCCTCCCCCTCCGCCTCCTGGGGGCCCCCCGCCCCCGCCGCCGCCGCCGCCGCCCGGGTGTGGAAGGTCCGGGCTCTGCAGGCTGCTGAAGGCGCCCGCGCCAAGCGCACCGCCGGGCAGGAGGTTACTGGGACTGTTGAGCAGAGGGTGGTTGGGGGACTCCATGGAGCCCGGCGCGGGGTTCACCGGCGGCGTCGAGGAGGCCAAGCCCGCATTGGGGGACTCGGCGGCGCTGCCCTCGCCCGGGGCTGGGGTCTTGCGAGGGCTGCCCGAGCCTCCGTGGCGGCGCCGCGGGGCTGCGGGCGGCGAGGGAGGGAGCTGCGGGAGCGGGGGCAGGTCGGCCGGACGCTGCCGCGGGGCGAAGTCCTGCGGCGAGAGGTGCTGCGGGTGCGGGAGGCTGAACTGCTGCGGCGGCTGTTGCTGCTGGCGCTGACCAAGCTGCGCCGGCTGGAGGAGCGGGCCGGCCGGCGGCGGCGGGCTGAACCGACCGGGGCAGTGGAGCGGCGGAGGCGGCGGCGGCGGCGGCTTCGAGTCCGGAGGGTGGGGAAGGTGGGGAGGGCTGAACTCTTTCCTCTTCTGGCTGCTCAGCTGCTGCTGCTGCTGCCGCTTACTGAAGTCCTGCGGGGAGGAGGTGCGGCAGCAGCAGCAGGAGGAGGCGGAGGAGGAGGAGGGGTGGTGCAGACTCGGTTTGAAGTCCTGGGAGGGGAGGAGGTGGGTCACACCCGCGATCGTGCCGCCGCCGGGGTGGTGGTTGGGGAGTTTCTCCGTGGCCGCCGCCCCCGAAAGCGGCCGCGCCGGCTGCTGTGTCAGCCCCAGCAGCAGCTCATCCTGCATGGTCTGCTGATGCGCCAGGAACGGGGAGGAAGAGGAAGCGGCGGCGGCCGGGCTGCCCGCGCCGCCGCCGAGGGGGATGGAGAAGGGGGAGGCGGCCTCTAAGAAGCCGGTGACAGGCAACGGTGGTGGCGACAGCGGGCCGAAGGGCGTGGCGGAGGGCAGCGGGTTGGCGGACCCCACGGCGTAGGGACCGTACGCCTCGCCGCTGAACAGGGGCCCGGGGCTGCTGCTTCGAAGCGGGGCGGTCTGCAGCACCCCAAACCCGAAATCCCTCATTTATCTGGCCGCCGGCAGCGGGAGGAGACGCTCCTCGTCCCCTGCCCCACCTAGGAAGCCGCCGGCGCTGGGGCTGCGCGGCCGTGGTGGAAGGAGGAGGAGTCAGTGAGAGAGGGACACCGTGACTGAGCCGGGGGCACCGACTACGGCCCCACCACCCCTCGCGGCGATCGCCGCCGCCGCCACCTCCCGAGACCGGCTCGGGCGCCGCCGCCGCTCCCGTCGCCGTCGCCGCCCTGGCCGCTTAAGAACCCCGGAACGTGCGTCAGCGCCACCTCACAATCGCGCCGCCCCCCGCGGTGCGTCCCGGCACGCGCGGGCGCGAGGCCACCGCACCCCCGTCGCCCCTCCCCGCCCCTCATTAATATGCAGACGCAGCCGGGGGCGCGCTCGCGCTCCCGGGAGGGCGGGAGCGAGCGGCGCGTCTCCTCGGGCCTCTCCGCTCCCGGGGAAATGGAAAGGCCCGTTGGGGCGGGGGTCGGCTGGCTGACAGAGGTCGGAGCTCGGGGTGGGCGCGCGCACGAGGGCAAGCACGCGCCTGGGAGGGAGGGACGGTTCCTGGGCAACGGCCCCTCCCTGGCGCGGGATCGGCGCAGAACCTGCCCGGGTCGCACGCGTCTCCGCCCCTCGCGGTGCCTCCTCCTTCCTGTCACCTCGGTTCCGCCCTAAGTGAGGAGAAACACTGCCGCACCACTCGGGCTTCCCAGGGCGGGGCTGCCCCGTGGGGGAAACTGAGGCCCGGGACCTCGACCAGCGCCTGCGCCGTGCGAGCCCGCGTAGAAATAGGTGCCCGAGGACCCCAGCGCAATGCGAGAGCCCGGCGCAGCCCGGGGGGTCCTGTGGTGAACTCGCATCTGGGCTCTGCAGGCTTGAAGTCCGCTGAGCGCCTGGCGCCTCGCCCCGCACCTCTAGACCCCGAATGCCGGGTCTAGGACCCCCTCGTCGCCCTAGGAAGCTCCCTCTAAGCTTGTTTCTGTTTGTAGGCGCTGGTAGGGGTGCTGTCACCGACATCCTATAGCCGCCGAGAGTGTTTCTGTAGGGTAAACATGAAGCCTCGGAGCCCCGGCTGTATTCCAGGCATTTTCACTTGGGTAAGAAGGAACAAAGTCCCTGGAACAAACACGCTCCGCGTGGTTATTTACACACTCGGATGCGTGGAACGGGTTCCACGGCGAGCTCCCATGGTAACCCCGGGCCAGCTCCGTTTCATAAAAGCGTTTCATGTGCCATCATCAGGGCTGCAGCATGGGACTCCTCCCAACCACATTCATTCTGGCGTCCCCGCCCCTTCCCCCCAGGGAGACTCTAATTTATTCCTAAGCTTTATGAATTTTCAAGGGAGAAATAGTTCTTACATCAGGGAAAAAAAAGGAGGTTCTGACTCAGCAGCAGACTTGTTGAGACTTGCAAAATGGAAGGGAGAGAGCTTTCCAGGGTAGAGCTCTTTAGAAGCGTTAGAGGAGGAACTAATCCTGTGTATTTCCTTTTGTATAGAAACATTTTACATAGAGTATTTGAAGGTCTAGATAAAGAATGACAGAGTGATGCATACAACATGATGAGATGAACTTCATGATCCTGTTTTGTAATTTTAACGTTTTGCTTGATGCTTAGAGAAATGAAACTATTAAATGAATCCTAGAATATAGACTCTTAACCCCCAAAGTAATGGAAGGTAGATTCAGACTTTACTTGATTTTGGTTTACAAGTGAGCTAAGATTAAATATTTAATTTTATAAATTACTATACTTTTACTGATGTAGGCAGAGTGTACATTTTTGTAAGTCCTCATTCTGTATTTGAATTCTACTTCTGTTCAGTGTCTTAAATTTATATAAATCAAAATAAACACGGTAGAAAGAGAGCAATATTGCCCCAGGGAACTGTATTTCGTGTATAATGTTTATCTCTGCTATCCTGTCCAATGAACCAAGTTTTATGTTGCCTTTACAATAAGGAAAAAGTATGTTTTTAAAAACTCATAAATGGTTCAGAATTTGGTCAGGTGAATAGAAAATTGGTTCAACTTATTAATCTCAAAATCACTTTTAACAATCAGGCAAAATGTAGAACTGGAGAAGTACTTTTATTCTAAATTACAATGTCTAGAAAATAACTGGAGCTCAGAATTTAAAATATAAATGGTTATTTTCACAGTACATATTGACATCTTATTCATTTTTTAAAAGGTATTGTGCAGGAAAAAAAACTACTTCTGCAACCAAGGAATGTAAAATCTTAAAAACGGTTGAATTTTTTTCCAAGTACAGATGTATTTGATTGGAATCATTTGCAGATCCAACAACAAATCTTGAAATAGGGGGAAAATACAGGCATAAACCTTAGCTCTATCATCCATTAACACTGCAGTTAGTAAAGAGGAGAGAGCACATACTTTTAAAAGCTAACTGGTGCCTTTCTGGGCTACAGTTTTGAACAAAAACAAGATTTATTAGTACTCTGATACTAGTTTTGTTTTAGAGGATTTAGAGCTCTCTGAAGTGGGGAAAAGCCATCAAGTTTGTTGTTACATAATAATGTCAAACTTCGTATTAAGTACACCAAATTCCAAATCCTGCCAGGGCCTCTACTCACTACTTTTGTGAGGGCCCCGTTTTTTTAGAGCAGAAAGTTACTTTCTGACATCTTGGGTAAGCTGGTGATCTTGCCCTTATTGAAAATATTCAAATGAAAAGATTTCCTAGAGTGGGGAGTGGAGTGGGGTAGGAAGAAGGAGCAGCACGTGGTGGGGAGGGACTATGGTCCTCTAGCAGTTTCCATGCCAAGTCTTATGAGTCCATTTTATGATTTTTTTTTTTTTTTTTGACGTGAAAATATTTTGACTCATGATCATTAACTAGGACCTTGACTTTGTGTTTGACAGTCCCTTATTCATTTACTCCCACTGTCCTGGGCAAGTGTTTTTAAAAATATTTTTGCTACAACCCAATATACATGCAACAAACTCCTTTTTATAATTTTAATTTTAAAATCACGTTTGATCTCAAATTCCAAAGTTGGTTTTAACACCTTCTATCAGATTATGAGCTGAAATTTAAAACCACTGTCCTAGAAGACCATTTCAAACATTCTGCTCTGTCTGAAAACCTCTTGTCACATCTCTCCTACATGCATCTGCTAGCATATAGCACTCTCAGCTGCTGAGCTACATGCTTATTTCACTGAGAAAAGAGAAGCAACCACAGGAGAACTTCCACAGTCTCCATCTGTCCCTGCACACCTTGCCTTCCCTCCCAATACAACGGATGGCCCATCTGTCTGCGCTCCTGTCTAAGGCCAGCCTCTCCGCTGGCGGAGTAGATCCTACCCCTAACCTACTCAAGACATGGGCTCCAACAGTTTTCTCTCTCTCTCCTTCATCATGACCTCTTTCCTCTTGAGGAAACACTTCCATGTGCACAAAAACATGCTTTACTAGTTCTCACCTTTGAAAAATAAAGCCAAAACTTTTTGACCGTATATTCTCCCTCCTTTAGCTACTACCTTCTTTTTCTGCTTTTACATTATGTGAACAACTTGCCGGTTTGACTGAGTGTCTCATAGACACCTCAAATTAAACACATCCAAAATTAAACTCTGCCTCACTAGTCCCGATCCCCGTGGCGCTCCATTGTTCTAGTTCCCATTTGGCACTCCATTGTTCTAGTTGCTCAGGCCAAAAACCCTGGAGTCATTCTTCGCTTCTGTCCTTCTTGCATCATATCCAAGCCATCAGAACATGTTGCTGGTCCTACCTTTAAATTACTGGCATAACCTAGAGATACCGTGGGTTCCAGATTACCACAATAAAGCAAATATCCCAATAAAGCAAGGCAAACCAATTTTTTGGTTTCCCAGTGCATGTAAAAGTTATGTTTATAGTATATTATAGTCTGAACATAACTTGTAATTATGTTTAAATAAGTGCACAATAGCATTATTCTGAAAAACATGCACACATTAATTTAAAAATACTGCTAAAAAGTGCTAATGATCATCTGAGCCTTCAGCAAGTCATAATCTTTTTGTCAGTGGAGGGTTTTGTCTCAACGTTCATGGCTGCTGTCTGATCAGCATGGTGGTGGCTGAAGGAGGAGGTGGTTGTGGCAATTTCTTAAGACAAAAATGGAGTTTGTCACATAGATTGAATCTCCCTTTCACGAAAAGATTTATCTGTAGCATGCAATGCTGTTTGGTAGCATTGTGTCCACAGAACTTCTTTCAAAATTAGTCCTCTCAAAACCTGCTGATTCTTTATCATCTAAATTTATGTAATATTCTAAACCTTTTCTTTGTCATTTCAACTGTGTTCATAGCATCTTCACCAGGAGTAGATTCCATCTCAAGAAACCATTTTCTTTGCTTATCCATGAGCAGCAACTCCTTCGCTATTCAAGTTTCATTGTAATATTGCAGCAATTCAGTCATATCCTCAGGCTCCACTTCTAATTCTAGTTCTCTTGTTATTTTTATCACATATGCAGTCACTTCCTTCATGAAGTCTCGAACCCCTCGAAGTCATCCAAGAGGGTTGGAATCAGCTTCTTCCAAACTCCAGTTAATGTTGATATTTTGACCTCCCATGAGTCACAGATATTCTGAATGACTGTTAGAATGGTGAATCCCTTATAGAAGGGTTTCAATTTACTTTGCTCTTATCCATCAGAGAAATCACTATCTATGGCAGCTATAGCCTTATGAAATTTTTTTCTAAAATAATACTTGAGGTCATCCTGGTGACAACTTAGTGATTTTAAATTTTAAAATGAAAATAGAATTATAAAAAGGAGTTTGTTGCATTATTAAAAGAATGGCTTAATAGCAGCTTTATTTCAAAACAATCCCAGCACTTTGGGAGGCCAAGGCGGGCAGGTCACTTGAGGTCAGGAGTTCGAGACCAGCCTTGCCAACATGGTGAAAACCGTTCACTTCTAAAAATACAAAAATTAGCTGGGTGTGGTGGCGCATGCCTGTAATCTCAGCTGGTCAGGAGACTGAGGCAGGAGAATCGCCTAGACCCAGGGGGTGGAGGATGCAGGAAGCTGAGATAGTGCCACTGCACTCCAGTCTTAGAGCCAGAGCCAGACTTTGTGTCAAAAATAATAATAATAATACTTGAAACTCATAATTACTCTTGAATCCATGGGCTGCAGAATGGATTTGGGCTAGCAGGCATATGAGAACAACAATTATCTTCTTGTACATCAGAGCTCTTGGGTGATCAGGTTCATTGTCAATGAGCAGTAATATCTCAACAGTGGACTTAAAATGTTCAGTAAACTATGCTCTTTCCAAGTTTTGTGGTTCCATTTACCAAGCACAGGCAGAGTAGACTTAGCATAATTCTTAAGGGCCCTAGGATTTTCAGAATGATTAATGAGCATTGGCTTCAAGTTAAGGTCACAAGCTACGTTTGCCCTTAAGAAAAGAGTCTGCCTATCTTTTGAAGCTTGAAGCTAGGCATTGACATCTCCAGCTATGAAAGTCCTAGATGATATCTTCTTCCAACAGAAGACTGTTTTTCTACAGTGAAAACTTATTATTTAGTGTAGCCACCTTCATCAATTACCCAGCTAGATTTCTGGATAACTTGCTGCAGCTTCTCCGTAAGCACTTTCTGTTTTACCTTGCACTTTTATGTTATGAAGATGGCTTCTTAAGCACGAACCCACCTCTGCTAGCTTCCAGCTTTTTTCTTCTGCAGCCGTCATAGAATTCTCTCTCAGCCTTCATAGAATTGAAGAGAGGGCCTTGCTCTGGAATAGGCTTCAGCTTAAGGGAATGTTGTGGCTGGTTTAATCATCTCTATCCAGACCATTCACACTTTTTCTATATCAGCAATAAAGCTGTTTCACTTCCTTATCACTCATGTGTTTGCTGGAATAGCACTTTTAATTTCCTTCATGAACTTTTCCTTTGCAATCACAACTTGGCTAACTACTTGGAGCAAGAGGGCTAGCTTTCAACCTATTTCAGCTTTCCACATACCTTCCTCGCTAAGCCTAATTATTTCTAGCTTTTCACTTAAAGTGAGAGTCATGTGCCTCTTCCTTTCACTTGAATACTTAGAGGTTATTAGAGTGTTATTAATTGGTCTAATTTCAATATTGTTGTTTCTCAGGGAATAGGGAGGCCTGAAGCCTTTATTGATTAAATTATTGTCTTATATGGTTGTGGTTTGTGGTGCCCCAAAACAATTACACTAGTATCATCAAATATTATGATCACATATCCCCAGAATAGTTATAGTAATAATGACAAAGCTTTAAATAACACAAGAATTACCAAAATGTAACACAGAGACACAAGGTGAGCACATGCTGTTGGGAAAATTGTGCTGATAGACTTGCTTGATGCAGGGTTGCCACAAACCTTCAATTTGTAAAAAACTCATTATCTGAGAAGCACAAGATAGCAGAGCACAATAAAGCGAGGAGTGTCTATATATCCAGAATCCAAGCACTTCACCCCATTCTCACCACAAGCAGCCTGGGCCAGGCTACTGTTACTTCCTGGATCGTTCCTCTCACCCACTAACTCGTATCCCAGCTTCTGATCTTGCCCCTCTCCAGTCTATTCCCAACATAGCAGCCAGGATGATACTTTTGAAATGGAAAACAGGTCATGTCAGCTCCTCTGACTAAATACTTACATTTTCTCAGAATAGAAGTCAAAACATTTTAATAACCAAAAGGTTCTTCAGAATCGCTCCTGCCACCAACCCCTCTGAAAACTTCCCTACAGTGGAATGCTTATTTCTCTAACAGCCCAGGCCAATTCAGCCTTAGGGCCTTTGCCCTCGCAATTCCCACACCTGGAATACTTGTCTCCTAAGTAGCAACTGGGCTCACTTAACCATGTTTTTAATCATTCTTTTTTTTTTTTTTTTTTAGTTTCTCTCTCACTTAGGTCTCTGCTAAAAGTCATTTTTCAGTGATGTCTTCCCTGACCACCATTGTAAAATAACAACCCCCCACTCTTTCCCAGCCTTCTTATTTTTTATAAGGTGTTTGTTTTTCCATCTGACCCACTATGTACTTGAACTGTTTATCTGTCCTCTCTTATAAGATCACAAGCCCATGAGGAAAGGTCCATGCCTTGTTTTGTTCACTGTTGTATCCTCAGCACTTACAACAATGCCTTGCACATAGTAGGCTTTCAAGAGTTGGGAAATGCATGCACTGAATAAAGGGATTGTTGAATTAATAAATAGCAATTTTAGGAAATGATAGCTAAAAGAATACAATAGTAATACAAGGGTCTGTTTATAAATTGTTAATTTGCTTTCAGGAGCTATCCAAACACCATGCAGATGCTCCTAGGATTCTTAAACAAGCCAAAAATAATTCCAGTCATTGTCAGATATAGGATAAGTGCATGAGGACAGGTAAGTCAACCCAGGACTGTAACACTGGGGAATAGATAACCCTGGAGTACAAGGGGCAAGACTCCTGTCTCAGAAGCCTTGAGTTGGTACTCCAGGCTCCAGGAACACAGGGTTTCATTGCAGGAGCTTGAACAAGGAGAGGAATCAAGACCCCAGCTCGTAGAAATGGAACCAGTTTAGGAGGCACTGCAGTTAAGGTCAACTGGATGCCTTACCTCCATGCTGCTGGTTTTCCGTGGCACAGCCCATGCCCATGAATGTAATTAACCCCATAGAATGGGAAAACTTTGAGTCTTTAGATGGGAGCTAATTAGTTCTGGTTTGGACTTGGAAAAGGAGAAAGTAGAAATTAAGATTCATTCTGACCTTGTCCAACTTCAAGGTGCTTTATTGATGTGGCACTCAAGAATAGTACCACCCTCAGTTACTTCTAGTTCTCCTACTTTTCTAAACCTTCCTTCATAATTTCCTCCGTCACTTTATCGTTATGTATTCTTTACGTGCGAGAGCTCCTTAGGTTTATGTTTCTGGTCCTTTTCTATATTTCTACCTACTTTTTCTAGATGAATTTATTATCATGTTTTCAAACATCATCTAAATGCTAATGTCTTCCGAATCCATCTCTTTAGCCTCGTGGTCAAAATCATATTTCCAACTGCCTATTTAACACTTTGACCTGGGTGTCCTTCAGCCACATCAATTCAATGTGTCTATACCTGCATTCAACATCTTCCCCAAAATCTGCTTCTATTTTGCTGCTTGTCTTGACTGACGTCATCATCACACAACCAGTTTCTCAAGCTGACACATGAGTCATCCTCTTCCTTCATCTCTCTCACTCTCCAAAAACAATTGGCAACCATGCTCTGTCAATTATACTGCAGAAATGTTGCTCAAATGTAATTCCTTCTTGCATCTCCGCATTCCCCTTGCCTTTCACGTACCTAGAACACAAGTGCCTAGTATTTGTTGATTAGTAATTGCCCAATGAATGCTGTAAGAAGAAAAGATGAAGAAAAGGAGAAAACAAGGTAAGGAAAGGAAGGAGGGAGATGGAAGGAGGGAACGAGGTAGATGTTTCCAAAGCATGCTTTACAAAGACATGTGCGATTCTGTAGCATTGTTAACTAATGTTTACTGGAGAAAAAATAAAATGAATAACCATATTGACAATGACAAAAAAGTTATTTTCCTTGACAATACCAAACTAAAAGTTTCATTCTGGTTATTACAATCTCCATTCTGGTTATTATGCCACGGGATGAACTCATTGACAAAGAAAAATATCAAAAATCTTCCCCGATGACAAAGTGTAGTCCTGAAACATAACAGAAGTTCTCTGTTACCCTTTGTGGCATCAGGGGGATTTATCATCCCACTCCAATACCCCCACCTAGGAGAGAACCTGTCAGCCTCTCCAGTAATTTTTGTCACGATGGTCACTGGGCCCTTACGTAGACTGACTTCCTTCTCTATTGCTACTTATCTTGTAACTTTAAGGCCACATCAACTTGATTGAATTACAAGTCTTTGGAGGCAGTCGCTATGCCTTATATGTTCTTTAATTTTCCTAGTTCTTATTGATTGATTTATGTATTCAGAAACTCTTTTGTCGAGTGCCTACTCTGTACCAGACACTGTGCAAGGCACTATAGGTGTAACTGTGAAAAGAACAGAAAACATACATTATTCTGTGTATCCTCACAGAGACTGTAAATAAATGCTATTGACGTTAGTTATGATAATTCCCAACCCTAATTGTCTGGGCAGAGTCATAAACAGTGAGATTGTAGGTTGAAACTGACTTCCTAAATTGGAATCCTACTTGGGGCAATATGACCTTGCCAGGCTGGTCATGGGTGGAGCCTTGTGATCTCTACAGAATATTGAGGTAAAGCAAATCTAACAAGAGGGCAGATAAAATTACACACTGAAGCTCATCTCAATCCTGGCTTGAAATGAGATTTCTATGATTTCCTTTTCTTGTCACAATATACTTTGTGAGTAGATAAAGCAAATCATATTTTTGTTTTATTGTTGGAAAACCAAAGCCCAGAGGTAAAGTTGTTTGCTCGAGATAATTTGCATAGACTGAGATTAATGCCCCCATCTCCTCATTTCTCAGTTTCTTGCTTCATTAGTTGGCCCTCAGGCTAGTGCTAGAAGCAAAGACAAAGAGTGGGTCACTGCTCAGCAAGTACCTGAGCAAAACAGAGTCACAGAGACACATGCTTAAAAATGGTGCTTGGGTATATATATCCTGAGGACTTGAAACCAGTATGTCAAAGTGATGTCTGTACTCCTGTGTTCACTGCAGCATTAGTCACAGTAGCGAAGACACAGAAACAACCTAAGTGTTCACCAACAGATGAGTGAGTAAAGCAAATGTAGCATATATACACAGTGGAATACTATTCAGCCTTAAAAAAGAAGGAAATTTGGCTATCTGCAACAACATGGATGAACCTGGAGGATATTATAGAAGTGAAATAAGCCAGGCACGGAAAGGTAAAAACTATATGTTCTCACTTATATGTGGAATCTAACACAATCAAATTCATGGAAGCTGGGAATAGAATGGTGGTTACTGAGGCCAGGGGCTGGGAGAACAGGGAGATGTTGGTCAAAGGGTACAAAGTTGCAGTTAGATTTAAAATCATGTAAGTATTTAAGCTGATGGATATGTTAACTAGCTTGATTTAGTCATTCAACTCTGTATACATGTAACATCACTGTGTGTTCAATAGTAATATACAATTATAATATCAAAAAATAAAACTTTTTTTGTTAAAGCAACAGTCCTTGCTTCTACTAAAAGTTAAGGAGTGGAAGGGATAATCCTTCAAGTCTTCAAAGTGACACCTAGCTACATGAATGACAATTGGTAGTACAGACCTCAGAGCAAAAGCATCTTATTTTCAAAATAACATATCCCACTGAAATTCAGAGATATTCCTCACATATGCTTAGTCATTTTTCTCCTATAGTAAGAATGAGGCCTGGCAGTATATATTGGATATATTATACTTTTTCCACATTGTGGAAAGCTAACCGCGTCAATTGATAAATTATTCTAGGCAGAGAAAAGTGATGCATCTTGACTAAATATTAAATATGTAGACTTTAAGTAGATGAAGAGCATTGCATCTATCAAATTTGACCTTAATTTGTTTAGAATCTTAGAAGATTCAACATTTTAAATGTTTGTTTTGGAAGCTGTGAATGTTCAGTTAAAAAGAAATATCATGAAGCTTAAATGGTAGCAGGCATTATGACCAACCTTTGTGCAAGGATTGATTAAATGTAAAGACAAGAGAGGAAAAACATTCGGAGGGAAGAGGGATATTTGATTTTAGTCCTAGTTAGTGCTTCATTGTCAGTGCTAGCAATTCACTTTTGCTGTCTCCTTTTTTTCATTGGACTTGAGAAAGGATTATAGAACTTTATGTCACCTCACATCCAAAATTCATTTATAGTGTAAGCCATTGTACTAACATTGGAGTACATAATTCATAACAATAAGAAAAAACATAGACTTCAATTTTCAATAGAAAAAAAATAGACAAACTGGTACAGAGAATAAGAAACTCTTAAGATTGTCATAAGGACATAAATCGTATATATGAAAATACCATTGTTTGTAGGCCCACAGTTGATGCATATTCATCCCATATTAAGAGATAGGGAGGAGCAATATGATGGACACACCAGAGCTAGAGTCAGAGACCTGGCTTTTAGTCCAACTTCCTCTGTTACTATGTAACTTTGGCAATTAAACTTTGGGAACCTCAGTATTCTCATCTGTGAAGGTAAAGACAAACATTACCTGTGAAGCGGGGGCTATGGTGATGATAATTAGCAATATTTTAAATAGAGAGTCTTCTACAGTGTTTGACACAAAATAGATGTTTAAACAAACTAACAAAACACCTTAGCTGTCATCTACTATGCAGTTCAAGGTAAAGAGCAGATGAGAAAGCCAGCTTGAACACAGTGGTAGTCCTGGAGAATGGATAACCAAAGCAAAAACAAAGCAAAACAGTTACCAGACAACATGGGGGCTGGTAATGGCAGTGAAATCCTGGATTGCTAGCAGTGGAAGGAGATATCCAAATAAAAAATGAGAAAAATAAAAAAAGCTAAATTCCTCTTAGATCTGGAAAACAGAAAAAATTTCTGAAAGTTAAATGTTAAACATATTCAATGACTGTTTAATCCCTCTAAGGAAGACCAGAGACCAATTATGCAATTAGGGCAAACTCTGACTTTAAGGATTATTACTGAATCCCACTACCAGTTCTGACACCTATGGGGCAGGTTATGTTTACCTGGGCATGTTAACCATTCTCATTCTCTGTTTTCTGCTCTGATAAATAACATAGAGAAATATGTATGAAAACACCAAATGCTGTTAGAACACTGATCTTCGAACTAGGATATGTCTAGACCATTGTGGTCCAATAGAAATATAACATAAGCCATAAATGTGAGCTATATATGTAATGTGAACTTTTCTAGTAGCCACATTTTATTTTTTAGAGACAGGGTGTGGCTCAGTTGCCCAGGCTAGAGTGCAGTGGTGTGATCATAGCTCATTGCAACCTCCCACCTCAGCTTCCCAAGTAGCTAGGACTCAGACGTGCACTGCAATGCCTACCTAATTTTCAAAAAAAGTTTTTGTAGAGATGAGGCCTCGATATGTTGCCCATGCTGGTCTCCAACTCTTGTACTAAAGCTAGCTTCCTGCTTTGGCCTCCCAAACTGCTGGAATTACAGGTGTGCACTGGCCACATTTTAAAAATTAAAAAGGTACAGGTGAAATTAACTTGAGTAATGTGTTTTATTTAAATCAATATATGCAAATAATTATTATTTCACCATACAGTTGATATACAAGTTATTGCTACTTTACTGCTTTTTCTCCATCTGTTAAGATGATTGTAGTTTTTGGTTTATTGTATTAATATAGTATATTAAATTGGTTGATTTTCATGTTTTAAGCCAACCTTGTATTCCTGGGATGCATTTCATTTGGTTATGGTGTATAATCCTTTTTATATGTTACTGGATTTGGATTGCAAGCAATTTGTTGAGACTATTGGCATGTATGTTTATGGGGGTTATCAGCTTGTAGTGTTTTTTTTCTTGTGATGTTTTCATCTGTTTTTGGTATTAGAGTAACTAATACTGATCTCATAGAATGAGTTGGGAAGTATTACTTCTTATAATTTTTTGTTAAGAGTGTGTGAAGGATTGGTATTAATTTTTCTTTAAGTTTGTGGTAGAATTGATGAGTAAAGCCATTTGGGCCTAGACTTTCCTTGTGGAAAGTTTAAAAATTGTTAATTCAATTTGTGTTTGTTATAAATCTATTCAGACTTTTCATTTCTTCTTATTTTAGTATAAGTTGTTGGTGTTTGTCTGCGAATTTGTTTATTTCATCTAGACTTTCTAATTTGTTGATATATAATTGTTAATGGCATTCTCTTTTTTAAAAAGTTATTACTTACTTATTTTTTTAAATTAATTTTTTTCTAGAGATGGTGCCTTGCGTTGTTGCCGGGCTGGTCTTGAATTCCTGGCTTCAAGTGATCCTCCTGCCTTGGCCTCCCAACGTGCTGGAATTACAGATGTGAGCCACTGCATCCTGTCCATAGTGTTCTCTTCTAATCCTTTTTATTTCTATGAGGTTGGTGCTGAGATCCCTTTTTTTATTCCTGATTTTAATAATTTGATTCCTCTTTTCTTGTTCAGCCTCACTAAGCTTTCATTAATTTTACTGATTTTTTAAATAAGTAACTTTTTATTTCATTGATGTTTGCTCTTTATTATCTATTTCATTTATTTGTGGTTTAATATTTATAATGTTTTTTATTCTGCTTGCTTTTGTTTTAGTTTATTCTTCTTTGGTAGTTTTGTAAGATATAAGTTTAGATCATTAATTTGAGATTTTCCTTCTTTTCATAATAAACATTACAGCTACAAATTTCTCTCTGATTACTGCTTAAGCTGTATCTAATAAGTTTTGGTATGTTGTGTTTTTGGTCTCATTAATCTCAAATAATTTTCTGATTTGCCTGGTACATTTTAAAACCATTTTTTATTTAAAAGTGTTTAGATTACTTTTTACATATTTGTGTTTTCCAAATGTATTTGTTATTGTGACTTTTCAATGTATTCCTTGGTGGTCAAAGAACATCCTTTGTGTGATTTAACAGTCTTTAAACTTATTGAGTTTTTTTTAATGGTCTCTTCACATGTGCTTTATCGTGGAAAATTTTCACTGTGTACTTGAGAAGAATGTGTACTCTGCTATTTTTAGAGTTTTCTATAGATAAGTTATATCTAGTTAGTTTATAGTGTTGTTCAAGTCTTCAGCCACTATTGGAAGCAAGTTATTGATGTTTCCACTTATTATTGTTAAATATCTGTTTCTCCTTTCAACTTATGTATTTTACTTCATGTTTTAGGAGGCTCTGTTGTTAGGTGCATTTATGTTTTTGTTGTTGTCTTCCTGATGAATTGACCCTTTTATCATTATGTCTTTTTTGACTCTAGTAACAAATCTTGTCTTAAAGCCCATTTTGTCTGATACTAGTATAGCCACTCCAATTCTCTTTTGAATACTCTTTGTATGGAGTACAATTTTCTAATTTTTCACTTTGGACTTACTTATATCTTTGAATCTAGTGTGTCTATTGTAGATGGCATATGAGTGAATTGTGTTTGCTTCGTTCTGCATTCTCTATCTTTTGACTGGAGAGAGATATGCATTTTTATTAGAGGAATGATATAGTCATTATTTGATAAATTGCACATTCATTGCTTTATTAAAATTAGTTGATAAGAATTATCCTATTAATTTATATTCCTCTTATAATTGATGAGATGCGTTACTTTTATTAGATCTATATTAAGTTTGACGTCCTTTCATAATCTGTCTTATAGGATTCATTTTGTAACTTATTTCTCAATGTTTGTGGGTTTTGTTGATTTTTGTTTTGAGATGGAGTCTCGCTCTGTTGCCCAGGCTAGAGGGCAGGGTTGTGATCTCAGCTCACTGCAACCTCTGCCTCCTGAGTTCAAGCAATTCTCTGGCCTCAGCATCCTGCGTAGCTGGGATTACAGGTGTCCAACACCACACACAGCTAATTTTTGCCATGTTGGTCAGGCTGGTCTCGAACTCCTGACCTCAAGTGATATGCCTGCCTTGGCCTCCCAAAATATTGGAATTACAGGTGTGAGACATCGTGCCCAGCCTCCATGTTTTAATAACATTATTTGCAATGCAAATTAACACATTTGTTTGAATTGAAAAATAAAGGCAGAATTTTTCTGGAGGGAAAGTACAATTTGGCTTACTGGTTTGCCAATATATGTAGTACACATGTTCCATAAATTGAGCTAAATATGAAGGACCACAGTTTTGATTTTATATAAATGTATAAAATTCAAGGGCAAAGTATAATACAAATGTGAGTTCAAAGAAAAAAATATCTGAAATTTTTAAATTAAAACATCTTTCTCATTAAAAAAGATAGTCATGGGTATCAGATTGTTATGATATTCAGATTTCATTAAATACATTAAAAATAATAGTAATTTAAAGTGACAAAATAAAATATGTACTGAAATTATATCCTTTGCAACAATTATTTCAATTTACAATATTTTTAGAGAACTTAAAATGTATGTATGAGACATCTAAAAGTGTTCAAATATGCAAGCTATGTTTTGGAAAATTTTCAGTTTCTTTGAGTAATTCTTGGGGAAAAAGTTTGAAGAATAGTTTAAAACACTCCAAACTCATAGTCTCTAGTTGCCTTAGTTACTACTATATTCCCAGTACCAATCACAGCCCCATGATTGAATGAGTGAATTAATGTGTTAAGTGCCCTGAATGGTATCATTGCATTTTACATACTTGCTGCCTAAAGAAAGGACAACCTGGGAGGCTGATGTTTTCCTACCTAGGTTAAGTAATTAGGTAGTAGGTAGAGAGCTGGGTCTTGATGTAAATGGGGAAAGGAAAGGGATACCTACAATCCTGACTCTCTTCCAGACAGCCCTGGATGGCTACATTTACCTTTGGCAGACTCTAGATAATGAGAGTAAGATTAGGACCTAGACTTAAGAGAGCTCAACAAAGTGTTAAGATCCATACACAGCAATTACCTTGAATTCTACACACTTTCTTGGAGCATGTACTTCTTGCCTGGCACTCTGTGAGGCACTGGGCATGGAAAGATGAAGACGACACAGTACATGGGAAGTATACTTAAAGAAAGAGGTCTGATGAAGCAGGATAAATGCTGTAAGAGGAACATATCATGTTATAGGTTCAAGTACTGGAAACTGCAGTTATTTGACCACTTTGACCTACCAAAAACTGGTAACTCATATGGTTTAACCTACATGTTATATACAAATCCATGTGAAAGAATAATAAGTCTTGAGGAATTTATTAAGAAGGGCAAATGATGTGCAGTCGGTGGCATTTGAGCTGTACATTGGAAGATGAGTGGATGGATAGGTGGCAGGTGGGGCATTTGAGAGAACATAACCAACAAGAGCAAAAGTGGAGAGTAATGGAAGATGCACATGCCATCTAGAAAAGGACGCTGAGTGTTCTTTGCGTTGAGATCTGGGAAATAAGATAAGAGTGGAAAGAGCCTCAGACGTATGTTAAGAGTGCTGCAGGCCCAAGAAGACACTGTTCCACAAGCAAAGGCAGGCTACCAAAACTTTTTTTAGAGGGAGTATTGTTAACAGATAAAAATTTTTAGAACGCCTTAGGTGGCTGCATGGGGAATGGGTTGCAGATAAGGAGATTGAAACTGGAGGCACTGAGATACTTAGCAGGTGGCTGCAATAGTTAAGGTGAATATAGTAGATGTATACGGGAGTTGAGGAGTGGGCATGTTTCTCTGATGTAATTGTCATAGTTTGGCCAATTATTAGGTTTGAGGGGTTAGTTGAAAGAGGTACAGGTTGAGGAGTGGTTGAGGGGGGGAAAGAGTAAGCTAAGTGAAGATATCAGAGAATAAGAGTAGGGTTTTGGTCTATGGATCTTGGTTTTTGTTGGTGTGCAGTTGATAGCTGAGGCCGTGAAAGTGTATGGGATTATCGGGCAAACTTACCTAGGGAGAGCAGGGAAATGGAATAAGGGCAAAAGGGGAGAGGGGGGAGTTAGGGATGAATCTGTACCTTGTACCTTGCCTCATTTTATCTCTGTCACAGCACTTGTTTACGTGAGTGTCCACTCTTCACAAGTTTGTGAAATCTCCAAAGATGGGTAGGAGCTAGATCTTATCCATTCTTTAGAATCCTCAAAGCTCCACTATACTCAAAAGGTAGCTACTTAAAGAAGTGCTTGCTGGATCATACTCTTATTTTCTAGGTTTTAGGCATTGTTCTAAGTGCCACGTAGGTGCCATTCCATTTCACACTTCATAATAGCTTTATAAATTGATGCTATTATTAGCCCCATTTTACAGATAAGGAAACTGAAGCATGAACTCATTCAAGGACACAATCAATAAGTAAGGGCCTGGATTTAAACTCAGACAGTCTGAAACTAGAGGCCACTGAGTACTAAACTCTCTGCTATAGAATGAGTGGGATCAGAGGGACTTCTGTTTAGTACTTTGCAGCTTAGAATTGCTTTCATAAGCAATTCCAGTGTCCTCAAGGTAACTTTGTGAGATGGAGGGAGGGGGTAATACTATTATCTGTATTTGATTTGTGAGTAAATGAAAGCTAAAGTCAAGTATATTCATGAAGACACAACAGTAAGTGGCAAAATCACCACTGTCTTCCGAGTTACATTCCTGTGTTCTGTTCACCCCATCTTGTTTCCTGTGAATCCAGTTGTCTGCCCTATTGCTCAACAAGATAAAATGTCTGAGCTGGTGGCTGGAGGCTGGAGGAAGAATCTGGAGAGAGAGAGAGACTGTGGAAAAGGCATAGAAAGACCTTTGAACTAGCAGAACGTATTTCTTTGGGGGATGTAGGAACTTCATTCTAGTAAGACTACAAGATATCAAACTTACTTGTGAATTCTAACATAATCTCTTTCATTAATAATCAAGAATGTTTGAAATTTAGGTACAAACTGTGCATAGAAATGATTGGTTTGTTTGTTGTAAATGTAAACAGAGATAATTTACTAACTTGTTATTTCTTCTTCCTTGCTGAGGACATACTGTAACTTTTCCTTAGGCATGACATCAGAGGTCCCTATACTGTCTAAAGGATTCAGTCTCTTTGGAGCCTTCTGTAGTTCATTTACTGTAGAGGATAAGATTTACCCTCTTCACTGGAGAATGGAAACAAGAATGATGGATTCTCAACTTCTATAGGCATTTGATTTACCTAATCCTCTACCACACATAGATTTTTTTTTTTTTTTTTTTTTTTGATGGCTAGTCTCTTAGCTAGGAGCAACTCACTAAAGATTTCAAAGGAACTGAAAATGAGATTGATAATAAGCTTTATACTTGTGTTCAGCTCATTTTAGTTCAGAAAAAAAATTCCCATGCATCTGACAGATACTGCCTTATTTGAAATTTAGAAATCTAAGGCAAGGTTGTCCTGCCATTTCTCTGCCATTACACAAGATTGGTTATCTTGCCAAGTTTCACTGTTGCTAATATAGACTCTGAAGCAACAAATATTACAAAGGATTTATAGAAGAGAAATCTCCTGTTTTGTAAGTTAAATGTAGACTTGTTTATTCATATGAATGGTGAAAGTATATTCTCTCTATGGCCAATATGTTTAGGCCCTGAACTTATAAAATAAGCAATGTTATAGAAATTAAAACAGAGATAACTACATTCTTGTTTAGGGAAGGATAGAAGGAAAGAAGAAAATTCAGTAATTCTTTCCTCTAATAGTCACATTTATATATTAACAATTTATAATATAAACTATTAACATTTATGTCATTCTCTCCATGTGCAAGGCATTATTCTGAACATTCAGTACCCTTTTCAAATCCATGATAAATATTACTATTGTCTTCATTTCAAAGGCAAGTGAACTAAGGCACAGAGGTGTTAGGCAGCTTGCCTGAAACCACAGAGCTAATAGTAGAAACAGTATCCCAGAGTTCCTGCTCTTAATTTACTGTGCTGAAATTTTTGTGAGTCTCATAATTTTGTCTCCACTAAACTGGAGAAGACTTCCAAGAGGCGGCAACAGTTTAGAAAATCTTTGTTTTTTGTGAGGATTTGTGGTGTTTGGTTTTCTTATTTTTTGGTTTGTTTGTTTGTTTGTTTGTTTTTGAGACAGGGTCTTTCTCTGTCACCCGCGATGGAGTGCAGTGCTGTAGTCTCATCTCACTGCTGTCTCCGCCTTCCAGGCTCAAGTGATCCTGTCACCTCAGCTCCTGAGTGAAGATCTTTGAAAGATGGGAGTTAATTTAATTAAGAATGGAAATCTAGAGAATTTCAGTGTTTGAAAGTAAACTTCTGATTCTAACCGAAATCCGGAACAGTGCTTCTTCATGAAGCAGAGATGTGATGCTGCATTAACTTTATGAGAAACTGGGCTGAGTGTCAGCATGGTTTTTCTGTTGATCTTATTGAAACCAGGGGCCACAAGTTTTCATTTATACATTCATGCTCATTGTTGGTGTCCTTCCTCTAGGTCATATACTCTACAAATGGATGTTGTTTCTTTTTTCCTTCCCTCCCTTCCTTCCATTCTCTAAGTCAATGAAATCAGTTAAATGAGCCAGGCTCTGTGTCAGGGGCTGATGCATAAATAAATAAATAAATAAATAAATAAATAAATAAGACAAGTGCTCTGGCCTTTAAGGAGGCTCAATGATGGTTGTTTGTTTTGTTTTGTTTTGTTTTGAGACAGAGTCTTGCTCTATCACCCAGACTAGAGTGCAGTGGTGTGATCTCGGCTCACTGCAAGCTCTGCCTCCTGAGTTCACGCCATTCTCCTGCCTCAGCCTTCCAAGTAGCTGGGATTACAGGTGCCCACCACCACACCCGGCTAACTTTTTGTATTTTTTAGTAGAGACGGGGTTTCACGGTGTTAGTCAGGATGGTCTTTATCTCCTGACCTCATGATCCGGCCGCCTAGGCCTCCCAAAGTGCTGGATTACAGGCGTGAGCCACCGTGCCCGGCCTCAATGATGGTTTTAAATGGCCCTCTGTTCATGGTGTAAGCAGCTAAAAAAGAGGGAATTGTTACTTCAACCTGGGGCATTGGGGAAAGGCTTCAATGGAAAAGCTTAGTACTTGAGTTGAATCTTAAAAGATGTGTAGGTTGGGGGTGAGATGGTCAGAGGGAAATAGGAAGAACATTCTAGGAAGAGGTGTCGGCAAGAATAGCCAAGCCTTGGAGGAGACAAATAGTAGGACATGTTATGGAAAGGGAAGAGGGTGTTGCCTAGATGGAGCAAGGGGGTGAGGTGAGGCCGTTTGAGCAAGGCTAGAGAAGTAGGGGAAGTCAAACCAGTCGAGACAGAGGGATTCATCACTGAAAATTCACTTCCAGGACTTGCACCTAACACAGGATCTGTATATGGTTATAATTTGAACATTCCCAGCAGTTTGTCGTGTAATATCTGGGATTCAGGGCTTCAGGGATGCTGGATACTTTTACTAACATATTCTATGGTGTTTTATATAGGTCTTGGCAAGATTAACATATTGTTTTCTATGATGACAAATAGCTAATATGAAATGAGGATTAGTTTGATCTTTCATATAAGGTCTAGAGAATGTTTCTTCACAGTTACCCCAGACCTTTGGTATAGCATCTGTTTTTCAGTTCTAATGCAAAAGTATGTTACTCAGATTGAATATTAATGACTAGTAATATTCATTCCAAGTACCTATTTTCATCAAATTTCTTTTTTTAACTTTTAAGTTCAGGAGTACATGTGCAGGTTTGTTACATAGGTTAACTCGTGTCATGGGGGTTTGTTGTACAAATTATTTCATAGGTATTAAGCCTAGTACCTATGAGTTATTTTTCCTGATCTTCTCCCTCCTCTCACCCTCCACTCTCCAGTAGGTCCAGGGGTCTGTTGTTCCCCTCTCTGTGTCCATGTGTTCTCATCATTTAGCTCCCACCTATAAGTGAAGATATGTGGCATTTGGTTTTCTCTGCCTGCGTTAGTTTGCTAAGGATAATGGCCTCTAGCTCCATCCATGTTCCTGCAAAGGACATGATCTTGTTTTTTTATGGCTGCATAGTATTTCATGGTGTGTATGTACCACATGTTCTTCAGTCTACCATTGATGGGCAGTTAGGTTGATTCCATGTCTTTGTTGTTGTGAATAGTGCTATAGGGAACATACACGTGCATGTGCCTTTATGATAGAACTACTTACATTCTTTGGGTGTACACCCAGTAATGGGATTTCTGGGTCTAATGGTAGTTCTGTTTTTAGCTCTTTGAGGAATTGCCACACTGCTTTCTGCAGTGTTTGAACCTAATTTACATTCCCAGCAACAGTTCCATCAAATTTCCCAAAATAATAAATATGTAATACCTGTGATATGCCAGACAATATTACACACATTTTACTAACAACACAATGAGAGATAGGCATCTTCATTATCCCTAGTTGATAAATGAGGAAACAGTAGTTGAGTAACTTGCCCAAAGTTATAAGCTAGTGAATGTTGGAGATGGTGATTGTGCGCAGGCAACTTACTCCAGAGATGTAAGCCCTGATTATCATTTATCTACTCTTCCAATTTATATATTTTTTTCAAACTAAATCACTGGACAGATTTTTAAATTCTTTTGACCACTTGTTTAATTGACATGACACAATATTATATGAATATAATTCACATACACAAACATTACATGCCCATATATGATATGTGATAGTTATTATAGATCAGTAGTTCTCAACCCTGGATATAGATTGAAATCATAAAGTGAGGGAGGTTTTTTTTTGTTTGTTTCAGTTTGTTTTGAGACGAGGTCTTATGCTGTTGCCCAGGCTGGAGTGCAGTGGCATGAACAAGGCTCATTGCAGCCTCCATCTCCTGGGCTCAAGCCATCCTCCTGCCTCAGCCTCCCAAGTAGCTGGGACTTTAGGTGCACTCCACCATGCCTGGCTAATTTTTAAAATTTTTTGTACAGACAAGGCCTCACCTTGTTGCCCAAGCTGGTCTCGACTTTGGGGCTCAAGCAGTCCTCCTGCCTTGGCCTCCCAAAGCGCTGAGATTACAGGTGTGAGCCACTGCACCTGGCCCATGTGATGAATTTTTTTAAAAACTGTTATTGGCTTAAGCCCCACCTCCAGAGATTCGGATGTAATTGCTTTAGGTGAAGCCTGGACATCAACATTTTAAAAACTCCCCAGGTGATTCTAATATTCATCTGGGGTTGAGAACCACTGTACAGACCAATCATTTATGGTTTACTTCAGGCACTGTACTATACATTTTACACACATTAATTGTCATTTCACGTGACAACATGATTAGATAGGGTATAATTATTGGTGTTTTACGGATGTGGAAATTGGGGAACCAAGGGGTTATATAATTTGCCCAAGTTCACACAGCTAGTAAATTGCAGAGACAATGTATAGGGTAAAACTGCATTTTCTTAGTTGTAACTACCATGCATAAAAATCAACCTGTGTCATAAATTAATTTATCAGCATTCTGGAATATATATGTTTGTATGTACATGCTAAAACTCTTAAAATCTGAATAATTTAACCAATTTTCCATTTGGTCTGTTAAAAATACCTTTGAAACTAAATTATATATCTATTTCTATTATATACAATACAATATATATTTTATATTATGTAATATATTGTTATATATGCCGTCTATTTCTAATATTAACCTTTTCATTTCATCTTTTCTACTTCTACATATGAATATGTAAAACATTCTAAATAAGCTTTCAAATACATGAGTAACTTTTAACAACTACTGGTTGTTTATATTTCTATTGAGAAGAAAATAATATAAAAGCCATTTATCCTTAGTGAAAAAATCTTAGGTTACCCTTTGTGAAGAATGTCCTAACCACAAGCAGCATCCAACAGCTAATATTTGAGCACATGTTTGCTACTATGCCAAATACAGTGTCTACTACTTTCTATGTATTATTTCATTTAATATATTCAATGCATTAACTCACCTCACCTCCCCTCTGTATTTAAAACTTCCACGTTTGCTTATCTAGCTCAGGGACTCCCTTCTGAGGTATGAGCTGCTTATTCGACTACCTACTTGATGTCTTCCCTCAGATGTTTGAGAGGTACCGCAAATATAACGTGTCCAAAATGAAGCTCTCAATTTTCCTCCATTTATTTTTTGTTTCCTCAGTCTTTTCCATCTCAGTAAATGGCTCACCATCTACCCAGTGGCTTCATGCCAGAGAGCTAGGACACATCTTACATTTTTTTTCTTAGCTTCCAAAATGATCTTGTCGGTTTCATCTCCAAAGTGTATCTCAAATCCATCCATTTCTTTCTATTGCCACTGCCTCCACTGTAGTCCCATCCATCAATATCTCTTGACAGAACCTTATTATAACCTCCTAACTGGTTCTCTTGTTTCCACTGTTGTTCTCTTATAATTCATTCTTTACCCAGTAGCCCGTGTTGCATCCAATTCATCCTTTTTTTAAAAAGTCATCCAGTGGTTTATTTGGTCTAGTCTACAAGGCCCTGTGTCTTCTACCATCAACTTGAGACCACTCAACCTCTCACGCACCATGCTCAACTATTCTGGTTGTTCAGTTCTTCAGACACTCCAAACTTTGCTCTGACTTAGAGTTTCTGGGCTTGCTGCTGTCTTGGCCCAGCTGACTCTTCTTCCAACTGCGTGGCTGACTCCTCATCTTTCAGATTTCATCTAAGATTTATTTCCTCCTAGAGACCTTCATGGGCTGTAATCTCTAAAGTGTCCTCCTTTTCAGGCCATCTTTTATTTCCTCAGAAGTATTGCTCACCAATATGTAAGATTTAATTCATTTATTTATTTTATTTTCTATTTCATTTGAATATGAGATCCGCGGTACACTCAGATATGCACTGTTTGACTTATTCCCAGCTAGTTACTTAGCATGTAGCACAAAATATGCTCACAATAAAAGATAGTTTAGTTCTATGTTAAATGAATATAAATGTCATGAATCTTTAATATGCAATAAAAACATAATAATCTCTCCCTGAGATTTTAAGAGAAAAAGTTATACTAATAGTTCCCAAACTCTATTTTATGTAGTAATAAAATAAGAGGGAAAAAAAGGAAGAGCGAAAATTATGTTGTGAAGATTCTGCTATTGTTGTTAAGTAAGTTTAGTTATAAACAAGAAAATCGCCATACTTTCTATGTCTACCATCATGGTACCAGACAGAATGGTGGAGAGCTAAAAGCATTCTAGGCCAAAAACTGCATCTATAAAGGCACAAAAATGGAGATAGTATGGTGGCTTGGAGTAAAATCAGTAAGAATAGTTGGAAGAAAGTGACCAATAACAAGTTTGAAGAAGTTAACAGGTTTAGATGATGGAGAGTTTTATATACATGAGAAAGCATTTGGACTTAACTCTATAGGGAGTGTGAAGTTCTATATAAAACAGCTTTCAATGGGAAAATGATGTGGTCCAATTTGTATTGAAAAATTATTTTGTGGCCAATATGGCAAATGGTTTGGAGGGAGATGAGATACAAATCAGAGAATCCAGTCAGAAGGCTGTTGGTATAACCCAAGAGTGAGATGGTAGGTCAGGCTTGAAATGAGGAGATGGCATTGAGGATGAAGGTGAAGAAACTGGTCTTTGTTATTAGCAAAATCGCAAAAATTCTTGAAATGATTGC